GGACCAGCTCTCTGACCTCCAGTTCACGTTTTATAAATACCATGACCCCTCTAGTGGACGCTGTCTGGGTGGTGCTGTGGTGACGTAGGTGGTGTGTAGATGTTTTGTCCCATTGGTTTTAACTTCTAGATGTTCACATATTGTTGCACTTTCCTCCACATCCTCACCTAGCCTCCTCTCCTCACCTCCTCTCCTCACCTCCTCCACTCTCCCCTCTGATAAGATGATGTAATAAATACGATGATTACCAGAGATATATACGTACATATTTATATATATATATATATACATATACATATATATATATATATGTATATATATATATATGTGTATATGTATAAATAAATATCTATGTACCATATGCGTGTGTGTGGAGAGAGAAGAGCTCTGAGAAAGAAAAGAGAACAATAAAAGAATGCTCGAGGAACAACTGTCTCTTTACTTGTTGAATCAAAACGTTACAAACATGACGAAGAAGATTACAAATTAAAAAATAAAGGTTGTGACTCAGGAAACAATAATTCATCCAATGAGCAAAGAGAGAAAACACATGACAGAAATAAATAAACTTGAGTAATTTGACAAAATCTGACAAAAATAAGATATTGATCCCATCGCATGTGCCATAGATATGCAGCTGACAGGTAGCGTTAGCTTAGCATAAGGTCTCTGATAGTCCACACTAGCACTGCTTCGCAACTGTTTCAAAAAAATAATGCATCATTTTATATTTCCTTTTAGTGTCCATCAAGTGTCTGTCACTTGCAACAAGCTAAGCTACGCTAAGCTAGGCTAGGCTAGGCTACGTTAGGTTAAGCTACATCACGCATGGGTTTGTTGTCTCAGAGGAGTCTGAGTTTCCTGATGAAGATGGAGGTTTATTTTGAAAGGACTCTATCACACAGTTTCATATTCAGCAGATAGACGTCCCCTTTTACTTTGAAAGAGCGGGAGGAAGCAACGCATGGAACAACTTCTGTTTCTTAGTTACGACTCAAACAGCGTTTCTGTGCATGAATAAAACTTAACAAACGTTAACGTTAGGTAAATCTTCCTCCTCCTCTTCCTCCTCCTCCTCTAACTCCTCCTCCTCCTCCTCCTCCTTTTCTAACTCCTACTCCTCCATCCAACGTAGAAGCCTCATAGCAGGTGAGGAGAAGATCTGTCATCAGTGGTCGTAGGACGAAGCTTCACGGTGGAGAACGGGTTAGTTCCTCTGGAGGCAGAAGATGAGGGTCAATACACACACACACACAGACACACACACAGACACACACACACACACACACACACACACACACACGCAGACACACAGACACACACACACACACACAGACACACACACACAGACACACACACACAGACACACACACACACACACACACACACACAGACACACAGACAGACACACACACACACACAGACACACACACACAGACACACACACACACACACGTGTGATCATTCTTAAAACCCTTTAAAGGCAGCAGAATGTTTCTGAACGGATTAATTGGGATTAATTAATAATTAAAGCGTGTTCCAGAAATCAGACTCTTGTATTCTACCCACAATGCACCGGGGTTACTTGGAAACAGCAGGTTTTCAGGAGGCCCGTGCGGGGACCGAGCTTGAAAAGAAGGGAGAGAAGCGCGCAGAGGAGGGGGAGAGCAAAGAAAGAACAAGAGTTTGATCTCTGACCTCCGGTACCCTGGGGCTCAGAGTCGGGCCTCTGGTCCGGCCGCGGAGACGTTGCCCGCCGGTCCGTGGAGCTCCTCCGGTGAGGGGGGGCCGGGGGGGCCGGGGGGGGCGGAGGTGGAGGAGGTGGAGGAGGCTCGTCGTAGCCCGACTCCCGGGGGCTCGGCTGGGCGTCCACGGAGGCCCTGCGGTCGGGCGTGGCTGGAGGCGGGACGTCGCCGAAGCTCCTGCCCTCCGATTGGTCGGTGCAGGTGTCGCTGGGGTCCAGTAGGTTGTTCATGCTGTGGCTGCGGAGCGAGCCCCCGCTGGGGGGGTCAAAGGGCGTTCAGTGTTCCATGTGTGCAGAGGAAAGCAGATGTTTCACACGTTCTTCTTAACTGAAGTCATAAAGGAGCTGATGAGGTCACACATGTTCATGAGTGACATCATCAGCTTCTGACTCGCGTGTCCTTTTGTGGACGAATCATAAAAGGCCCCAGTTTGTACTCCACCTGGTAGAGAACGTGCTGGAGGAATCCTCCACGGGGGAAACGTAGGCCGCAGGAAACCAGCCCTGACTGGACGACACACGAGAATATCTACACAATAATATCTACACAATAATACACACGAGAATATCTACACAATAATATCTACACAATAATACACACAATAATACACACAATAATATCCACACAATCCGTTTTAAAGCAGCTGTATAAATAAATAGATAATATTGATTATGATTATTCTAATTGGCATAATGATGATAATTATAATAAATGAATATTATTGTTTCATTATTATGCGACCTTTAAATCTAAAATAAAGGAAATGTAAATCTTTTTAAACAAACCTGCTTACGTCTCCTAAACTTGTTTGTTTCAACGACGTGTTTGATTTTTAGTCTCAATGGGACTTAAATAATAAAGGTAGAATAATAATATATAATAATCACTAATGAATAATAAGAACCCTGATCCGTCATCGTGACCATGAACGCACCGCAGGCTGCTGTCCGTGCGTCCGTACAGCCAGCCGTTGCGCGGCTCCACGACCAGCACGGTGACCGCCTCCCCCCGGCTGAAGGGGAGGAGCTTTGGGTTGGAGGAAGACGGGTGAGACACCAGCGCCCTCATGGCCCTCCCCCCGCCCGGACCCGGGGACTCCCCCACCGAGCCGGAGCGGGAGCGGCTGGGGAGGGGAGACGGAGCTGCAGGGGGGAGGCAGGGGGGAGGCATTAAAGACGGCCATGGTGTTTTACATGGTGTCATGGTGACCTCTGACCTCTAGAGGGCAGCCTGCCCAGAGCCTGCTGCTCCCTGCGGGCCCACGACATGTCCTCGTCTCTGGCCACGGTCTGCAGGAGGGAGCTCACGGAGCCTCGCAGCTACGCACACGCACACACACGCACACGCACACGCACACACACACGCACACGCACACGCACACGCACACGCACACGCACACGCGCACACACTCTCTGGAGGTGATTAAATCTTCTCTCTGTTCATCCTGTTTTTGTGAAGTTCTCATAATTATGAGTTAAATTCTGGATTTGTGGTCAAATAGGTCACAGTGACCTTTGACCTCCTGGGTCCTCGCCGAACACGGGCGAGCCACATTTTGAGGAAACCTCATGACAAAGGAGAAGGTTTCAGCAGGGACCCCCCACGTCTACACGAACACACGTTTCAGGCCGACCTTTGACCCCTGAGCTGCGGCCGGTGGTCCCGAGACGTCGCTGGTGGAATGTAATCTAGTACCTGAGCCTCCTGGTCCACGTGGGTAGGGGTCCGAGGCCTGGACCCCCGGGTCTCGTTGACCTTCTCCTTCCATCTGTCGGCCTTCTGCTGGAGAGAAGCTCCGGTCTGAGAGGAGCGAGGAGGGAACATCTGAGAGGCCTCGCAGGGAGACTCGTGGCGTGTGCGTGTGTGTGCGTGTGTGTGCGTGCGTGTGCGTGTGCCTGTGCGTGTGCGTGTGCGTGTGCGCACCTTGTTAATGAGGAACAGCAGTGACTGCGTGAGGCCGCAGTGCTTCTCTGCCAGGAAGCGATACCTCCTCTCCTCCTCCTTCAGGATCTCCTGCTGGCTCTGCCTCAGGTACGTCATGTACTCCGTGTTCTCCTGGAGGGCCGTGACCCCGCGTCACACACTATATTCAAGTTCATCACAACAGCTACATTTGACAGATTACAGTGAACGCATCACAACCCCAACAATGTTCACTGAGCAGAGCCTGAACGCATCGCGGTGTAACTGTTGGCGAGCTGTTAGCGGTTAGCTAAGCATCACATATGTAGATGTGTGTGGGTACCAGAGAGTCTCTGTAGGCTCCTCGTCTCAGCTGCTTCTCCAGAGCTTCGGCCTGGTTCCTCACCTCCAGCTCGTACACGCGCCGGCTTCCCTGGAGGTCATTTAAAGATCTCAGCGGTCACAGAAACTCAGTGTTTGCTTTGTGACGGAATGAATGTGGCCAAGAGACCTCGAAGTGCAAAGAAACAACCACGTCGTGGCCGTAATCAGTGAACATCTACAGCGAAAACTGGCAGTGCAGTCAGTGAAGAACGGAGCTAAAGGCTAAAGTAAACCGGCAGAAACAACCACAAATTGATCAAACAGCTCGGTTTAAAGAGGAGATACGTCCCATTTCAGGTCGAGATGCACACTTGAGTTATTCTTGTAACAACAGATTGCAATAAGGTGTTTATGAAGAAGACGTATTACATCGAGAGGTTGATGCAGCAGGAAAAGATGTGAATCCAAATGACTTCTCTGTAGTGACCAGCAGGGGGCGACTCCTCTGCTCCCATAGACGTCTATGAGGAAATGACTCTACTTCTCTGTAGTGACCAGCAGGGGGCGACTCCTCTGCTCCCATAGACGTCTATGAGGAAATGACTCTACTTCTCTGTAGTGACCAGCAGGGGGCGACTCCTCTGCTCCCATAGACGTCTATGAGGAAATGACTCTACTTCTCTGTAGTGACCAGCAGGGGGCGACTCCTCTGCTCCCATAGACGTCTATGAGGAAATGACTCTACTTCTCTGTAGTGACCAGCAGGGGGCGACTCCTCTGCTCCCATAGACGTCTATGAGGAAATGACTCTACTTCTCTGTAGTGACCAGCAGGGGGCGACTCCTCTGCTCCCATAGACGTCTATGAGGAAATGACTCTACTTCTCTGTAGTGACCAGCGGGGGGCGACTCCTCTGCTCCCATAGACGTCTACGAGGAAATGACTCTACTTCTCTGTAGTGACCAGCAGGGGGCGACTCCTCTGCTCCCATAGACGTCTATGAGGAAATGACTCTACTTCTCTGTAGTGACCAGCAGGGGGCGACTCCTCTGCTCCCATAGACGTCTATGAGGAAATGACTCTACTTCTCTGTAGTGACCAGCAGGGGGCGACTCCTCTGCTCCCATAGACGTCTATGAGGAAATGACTCTACTTCTCTGTAGTGACCAGCAGGGGGCGACTCCTCTGCTCCCATAGACGTCTATGAGGAAATGACTCTACTTCTCTGTAGTGACCAGCAGGGGGCGACTCCTCTGCTCCCATAGACGTCTATGAGGAAATGACTCTACTTCTCTGTAGTGACCAGCAGGGGGCGACTCCTCTGCTCCCATAGACGTCTATGAGGAAATGACTCTACTTCTCTGTAGTGACCAGCAGGGGGCGACTCCTCTGCTCCCATAGACGTCTATGAGGAAATGACTCTACTTCTCTCTGGATTTAACATTGTAAACATGAGTTTCTGGTCTCAGTCGCTAGTTTAAAGTCTTCTTCAACACAGCGTGATGTTCATTTAGTTTCATTTCATCTGTTTTCGGGGTCGTGCAGCGTGTTTTGTCCTCGTGGAGCCACAGTTGTTTGGAGAACTGGCTGCAAACGTCAGCGGCTTCTACAAGTAGGAAGTCCTCTGAACATTTACATGAATGTAGTATATCTAGTAAAGGCAAGAGAAGAGCCGCTTGTCTTCCTCCTGAACTCACATCGATGTACTCCTCATCCAGCTGGACGTTCTTCTCCATGGCTTGTAGCACCTCGATCTGGAACCAACGGAACTGCAGAAGAACAAAAAACTCCTTACGAAGACTCGTCTGTTTGCACACGAGCTCCGTCCTCTTCATCAGAGCTCGTGTTGTGTTCTAATTCAGTAGCACATCTAAACCTCACAACGCTCTGGATTGACGCAGGATGTGGACATTTAAATTCACAGGTTTATTAACAACAATTATTGGACATTTTATCACAAAACGTTTAAATAAACAACTAGTTTTGTTAGCAAGATGTCCTGGTTGTTCACGCTGCGTTTCAGTGTTTGAATAAGAATAACGGTGATAACGCTGACTGACCACTCCCTCCATCTCTGCCGTGAGTCTCCTCTGCGTCTCTGAGATCTGGACCAGGACGTCCCCTGAAAGACAGCAAGACAACTCGCAGATTTCAGTACTGCTGAAGGGTCCCTCAGTCATGTGACACAGGAAGTAAACGGAGGTCAAAGCTTTGTGTGCTGACTCCTCTGGTCCCATCTACGAGAAAACGTGCATGCGAGTGTGTATATATTTGTGTTTGTGTTTATTCACATATTTAATGTGAAGTGTCACTTTGATAGAAGTGGGATAAGATCTGAGACCAGCGGCACCTCATCCGTCTCTGAGAGAAGCTCTCCAGCGTAACCGGAGCCGCCGGAGTGCCTTTGTCTCAGTGGAAAGACATCTTTAATTCAGAGGTCACCTGATGCGGCCACACACACACACACACACACACACACACACACACACACACACACACTTACCCAGAGAGCGGGATGACAGCGTGTGGAGCGCCTGGTCACCCATCTTAGCCACAGCGCTAAAGTACGCCTCGCTGCTAACAGCTAACGCTGAAGGACACGCACACAGACACACACACACACACACACACACACACACACACTGGTGAAAAACAACCCTTTTTTTAAAAACATCACAACCTGTTCAGCTAAACTAAACTGCTGCTGTGGTCATCGGACAGGCTCCGCCCCCTCGGCCCAAATACGGTCACTTCCTCCTCACTGTTTGCAAATAAAACCAAGATGGCGAATGACAAAACGTCCAAAAACAAACGAGGAAAGGTCACCATGACAATGACCTCACAGTGACCACGTCGCCGTGCTCATCAGGGTTCAGTTTAAATCAATTTCAACTGCACAACTTCTATAAAACAATAAACTGAACAACAACAAATACATGTATTCATACAATCATCTCTACACAATAAGTTTGTACACGGAGTCTCACACACACACACACACACACACACACACACACACACACACACCCTCACCTTGGAAGGCCATGACGTAGCTGTTTCCTAAAGCGACCAGGTTCTGGAGGCCCGGATTGAAGGTCTCCATCAGGTTCTATGGGAACAGATACTTCAGCATTTGGAACACACTTGGCCTGCGAACACGCCACGAACACGCCCCGAACACGCCATGAGCTCACCAGGTAGACGGTCAGGGTGGATCTGTGCAGCTGGTCGCTGGTGGATCCCGACATCGTGAGCAGACACGTTAAAATAAGAGCTTAAGAGCTTCAGAAGGTGAAGAAACTTCTGCAGAGTCTCTGAGTTTCTATTAAACTAGTGAGGTCACATGTGTGATGGGAGGAGCCTCGTTGGTGAGGGAGGAGAGAGTGTCATCGATAGGTCACATGTGTGATGGGAGGAGCCTCGTTGGTGAGGGAGGAGAGCGTGTCATCGATAGGTCACATGTGTGATGGGAGGAGCCTCGTTGGTGAGGGAGGAGAGAGTGTCATCGATAGGTCACATGTGTGATGGGAGGAGCCTCGTTGGTGAGGGAGGAGAGAGTGTCATCGATAGGTCAGGACAGGCAGACAGGTAGAGAGACAGACAGAGAGAGAGAGAGACTCACCCGCACTCACAGTTGTCACGACAACAACAACAACAACCATAAAACACTAGTTGGGGGAGTTAATGTCTGTTTTACATCTTACGTATTGATGGACATTTAAAACAGACTTAGAGGAGTTGAATGTGTGACGTTTTTAAATCGATCTATTGTATCGTAATCGATTGTAATATCTGTGTATTTACATTATTAACGGTCTGTGGAGACGCTGTATCACAGTTTTCATTCATTTAATACACAAACAATAGAACACAAGCTTCTGTTTCAACAAAAACACTCCAGACTGAGAGCACGTCCTTTCCTAACCACTTCTCCTTGACCTCAATCCAAAAAGTCACGAGGTCAAGGAGAGACGTGAAGGACAAATCATGAAGCGTTAGGAAAACTAAATGTTGCCACAGCAAAGAATTGTGGGTCGGCATTATCTCCTTTCCTTTGCCTCCAATGGAAGTTGCTAAAGGAGCTAACAGAGGAAGCACTGAAGCACCTTTCCTACAACAAAGGACACTTCAGTGAGGAACCTTGAGCCCACTGAGGATGGACACTTTAATGACGTCATCGTGTGGAACAGTTGATGACATGAAGTGACTTCCTGACTTCCATCATGTGACTCAGAGCGCGCTCGTGAGCGCCACCCGCCTCAAACCGCACAGCGCGGGACTCATGCCGGTGGGGAGGGGCAACGTGGCGATGATGTCATCGACTCCGCCCTCCGGCTGTTCCCGGGCGTAGATTGGGCAGCGATAGAGCGGCGACGGCGAGGAAGGGCCGATGAGGGGGATGAAACGCTCGCCCCGTCTGTCTGCAGCGTCTGGGCCTCTGACCCGAGCCTCGAGGCGGACGATGGGCAGCCAGTGTGGCGCCGCGGGGGGGGGGGCTTCGTCCCGCAGGGCCCCCTGCAGCGAGTCCCACGATGCACCTCTTAGTCGCAGGCCGCACAAGTACACGGTGTACGGAGGAGGCGGAGCCAGGAAGGCGCCGTGGCTCAGGACCTGGAGGAAGAAGTACGGGGGGGCGTGGTTAGGGGGGGGGGGACCAGTTGGCTCCACCGTGTGTGTGGTCGTCACCAGTGCTTCACCTCGGCGTGGAGAGCTACGTCACCGACGTGTCGAAGGTTGGATCGCGCCGCCTCTCTCATCAACGCCACCAGGAGGCCTCTGCCGTTCCTGAAGGCGGAGAGCCGGTACGCGCCAGGAGGATCCGAGGCGCCGCGGCCCCCCAGGTAGGCGGCGAGAAGCTCCGCCCTCCTCTCCAGCCGGGGCAGGTCGGCGAGCTGGAGGAGAGGGTCGGAAGAAACGCCGCCGAGTCGGATGCGACGCCGCAGCCGCCGGAGGAGCGAGGAGGCCTCGCGGAGGAGATGCTCGCTCTCCGCCTGGAGGAACGCCAGCAGCAGAGCGTGAGGAGCCGCTGCCGGTCCCGATGCCGCTTGGAGGCGGTCCTTCAGAACCTGAAGTCTCTCTGACGCGTCGCCCAAGGCCGGCAGAGCGGCGGCCTCACGGGGGCGCGTGCGCGGGCTCCTCGCTGCTCCCGGAGGAGTCTGGGAAGCCCGAAGCAGTTCGCTCAGATTGCGGCTGTTGATCTGGATCATCTCAGCGACTTCGTCTGCACCGAAGCCCAGCAGGCGCGGGTCCCCGAGGCCCGACGGGCCGGCCAGACTCCGCTCCAACGCCTGCAGCAGCGCCGACGGATCTGAGCACAGGAAACACAAACAGATAGAAATAAAAATATGAGGAGAACCAGCAGCTGCATTCTGGGGGCGACTCTCCGTCTCTATTTATTCCCTCAGTAAACATCAGTTTATGATCTCAGTCTTCTTCACTACAGCATGTTCATTGTAACCATGGTTACCGGTCTCACCGGAGAGCACGTCCGGTCCACCGGCGCACAGAGGAGACGATCCGCTGAGGTACGTCTTGGCAGCGCAGTCCACCTCCTCCAGGTCGGCGAAGTCCAGAACATGGCCGCCGTGCACCAGGTTGACTGTGAATAAATAGAAAACGGGTTGGACTGCACGGAACCGGAGGGTCGGCGGTACCTGGCGATGCCGGCTCACCTGCGATGTAGCACAGAGCCTCGGCGCTGTCGTGGCACAGAGCGGCGACGTGGCGGTGAGCCTCCAGCAGAGCAGAGAGGTCCTCCGGACTCCTTCAACACAGAAACCAGCGTGGACCCGACTCAACGCCACATTCATACCACACCATCAGTCAGAACACCTGAACCGGGCCTCTAGTCCCCAGTCGGCAGCGTTCTGCTCCTTGGTGGGAACAGAGCGGTGACGCGCGGACGAGAGAACCACAAACACAGTTTTTAAAGGATTCTGGTCAAAGTAAACGCTTTATTCCTGGCGCGATTTAAAATGTGAACCGAAGAATACGACGCTTTCGATGACGCGTTCAAGGACCGTGGGACGGCAGTGAGGTTGGTTGTCAGTGGGTGTGTCTACCAGCTGTAGCTCCTCCCCTCTGCCCGGGCTCCTCCTCTCTGCCTCTGCAGCAGCACCGAGTGGAAGACGGCACAGCGGAGGAGCGGCTCCGCCTCGCCGGCCGAGCGACCCGCCGGAGGCCGGCGCTCCATGACGGAGGTCAGCTGACCCAGAGACGCGGCGAGCTCCTCCCTCAGATCCCAGGGGGGGTCGCAGACGAGCGGAAGAGCGCTCTCTCTCACCGCCGCTGTTTAATGACACGGACAATCAGCATTACTATTATTATTAAAGGATCATACAATGACATCATCAGTGCTTTCAGAACTGTCACATCGACCTTTTTGTTTTTTATTATAATATTTTGGTGTAATTTCATTTTTTTTTTTCTTAATTTAGTTTGTTAAAATTGAGATGGTTTAACTAGAACTTGAATGACTATAATATAATTATAATAATCATATGTAGAACACGGAGGGTGGCGTGTTTTTCGCCGCGCTCCGTGCTGAGGGAACGCGTACCGGGGACGGAGCTCCACGCGTCCTCCTGAGCGATGAGCCACAGTCTGAAGCCCGGCTGGACGTCCTCCTCTGAGGGACAGAGAGGACACGCTGAGCCCTTTGCGTCACGCTGGAGCCTGAACCTGACTCGTGGTTGACCTCTGACCTCTCATGGAGGAGATCAGCTGACCGAGGGGAGCCGACAGGCGGCAGTTAAAAACAAACCAGCGTCCGGCTTCAGCGGCTCGGCGCAGCTTTGAGTGGACGACCTCCGGGTCACAGAGGTCATCGACACACACGACCTCCACCTGGAAGCACGCCAACACAACGAGATTAAATGTCTCTTGTGTCTTATAGCTCTGATACATCATATAACAGCTGATCAATAAGTGAACTCTGATCCAGTTATTGATCCGTCTGCGGTACCGTCTTGGTTCCTGCGGCGCAGCGCGCCAACGCGTTGATGAAGTGAAGCGGCCCGGCGCCACTCCGGTCGTCTCCGTGGTGACGGGGCGTCGTCAGAACAACGGGCCCTTTGTGCTCGGCGAGGTGGCGCCGTAGGGCCTCGGGGTTCACGGCGCGAGGGGCCCCGCCCCCCCCCGTCGCTCCCGGCAGACAGAGGGAGCAGGCGGCCACGGCCTCCGCCAGCCCCCCCAGGCAGCCCGGCACCGCGGTCCTCCACAGCAGCGCCCGCTGCAGCACCGACAGGTGGGCGTGGGAGCGGCAGGGGACCGGCCCGGCCACGCCGGAGGACGGGAGGCGCAGGTACTCCCGCCACTGGAGGGGGCGGGCGCAGAGAGAGGCCGTCAACCCTCTGAAGGCGGGGACCTCCTCCAGGAGGAGGAGCTCCGGGTAGATGTGGGGTGGGATCCAGCCAGGCAGAGCGCCCGTGGGCTGTCTGGGGACGGGACGTCCCAGGTCCCCGAGGCCCCGCAGGAAGGCCGCGCTCTCGGCCTCGGAGCACAGCCCGCCGTGCCGCAGCAGCGCGGCGGCGAGCAGCAGCTCCAG